TATGGCCACTCTTCATATTTGAAAAGTTCACAGCTTGTCTTTGTTTCAATGGAGTGAACATAACTCTCCCTCTCAAGAATTCTCAAAAATGGTGTGGTTGGAATGCTGGAGAAGAGTTCTGTGGATTCCATGACTACTATGAAGACAAATAATGGATCATAGAGCAAATCCAACCCAACTCTCCTTAGAAGAGAGACTGACCACATAGGGAAGCTGATAAGGAAACACAACATACAAACTATCTACAGACCCACCAAGAAAATCCAACAAATGCTACATTCAGCAAAGGACAAGAGGGATCCTCTCACTTCTGCAGGAGTCTACCGTGTACCATGCAGCTGTGGACAAGTCTACATAGGGACCACCAAACACAGCGCCCAAACACACATCAAGGAACATGAAAGGCACTGCAGACTACTTCAACCAGAGAAATCAGCCATAGCAGAGCACCTGATGAACCAACCTGGACACAGCATATTATTTGAGAACACAGAAATGCTGGACCACTCTCACAACCACCATGTCAGACTACACAGAGAAGCCATTGAAATCCACAAGCATGTGGACAATTTCAACAGAAAGGAGGAAACCATGAAAATGAACAAAATCTGGCTACCAGTATTAAAAACTCTAAAATTACAACAGCACAACAACAGAGAGGAAACAAACAAGGACATCTAATCAGTAATCACCTCTCAACAAAAGCTTGCTCTAGGCACTGCCAGGCCATCCAATGTTAATCAAGGTGGTCAGTTGAAACATTCACACCTAGCTACAGCGGACAAGAGTCCTTTGGCTCACCCTGGTCATTCCTCAGATATATAAACCCTTTTCCTAGTTCCAACAGATCTCACCACCTCTGAGGATGCTTGCCATAGATGCAGGCAAAACGTCAGGAGAGAATGCCTCTAGACCATGGCCATATAGCCCGGGTAAACCTACAACAACCCAGTGATTCCGGCCATGAAAGCCTTCGACAATGCATTCTCCTTAGAAGCATTGATGACCAAATTGAGGCTGTCATATCACGAGACTTAGTGGAAAAGACAATAATCAAGGCTGAGTATCCCTTATCCAGTATTCCAAAATCCAACGTAATCCACATGACTGGTTAAGATAGAGGCATCTTTGCTTTCTGATAGTTTCAGGCCCAAAACTATTTAGAAATATTACATATTAAATTACCTTCTGGTTATGTATATAAGATGTCTGTAAAACATGTTTAGACTTCGATCCCATCCCTAAGATATCTCATTACATATATGCAAGTATTCCAAAATCCAAAATGTGGAACACTCCTAGTCCCAAGCACTTTGGATAAGGGATGGAGGATAGGAGAAGAAAGGGAGACCATCTGACAGGTGGATTGATTCACTCAATGCTGCTCTGAGTTTGCAAGACCTGATTGGGTCAGCTGATAAGCAAATAACGTAGAGGTCTCTCATCCATAGGAAGACTAGGTCATGGAAGGGCAGCTGTGAAAGAACTATAGAAGATCCTGAAGAATAAAGATATATAAGATGGTAGAACAGAATCTTTCGGAAGCTCTACGTGCTCTTACTATCCATTACAGGGAAAACCAGCTGATCCCCAACCCATCCAAAACACAGACATGTGCCTTTCATCTCAAGAACAGAGAAGCATCCCGAGCTCTGAGGATGACCTGGGAAGGAATCCCACTGGAGCATTGCAGTGCACCCAAATACCTGGGAGTCACTCTTACCTACAAGAAGCACTGCCTGAACATCAAGCAAAAAGTGGGTGCTAGAAACAATATCATACGAAAGGTGACTGGCACAACCTGGGGATCACAACCAGATACAGTGAAGACATCTGCCCTTGCGCTGTGCTACTCTGCTGCTGAGTATGCATGCCCAGTGTGGAACACATCTCACCACACTAAAACAGTGGATGTGGCTCTTAATGAGACATGCCACATTATCACGGGGTGTCTGCACCCTACACCACTGGAGAAATTACACTGCTTAGCCGGTATTACACCATCTGACATCCGCCGGGAAGTAGCAGCCAATAGTGGAAGGACCAAGGCAGAGACATATCCTTCCTACGGACATTAGACTAGCACCATCTCTAATGGTATTCCGCAAAAAGGTGAAGGCCTGGATGTTTGTGCAGGCGTTTGAGTAATTTAGTACAATCTGGTAATGGAACATAGGAATGGAACAATGGACGACGAATCTGGACTACGCTTGGATGATGAGAAGATTGGGTACGGTTGCTTTTTGTAATAATTGTGCATTGTAATTGCTTATTGGTAATTTATGGATAATGTGTTAAGTCAATTGTTATATGTTGTATGGAACCACTGCTGTTTCTACTGTTTCTACTGTTTGTGAACCGCTGTGAGTCGCCTTCGGGCTTGAGATACAGCGGTATATAAGCAAAGTAAATAAATAAATAAATATCCAGCTCATCCCCTGTTTGGGTATCAGCTAGCACGTCAACGACTTAAATCTAGAAATAGTTTTCTAAGATCTACAGAGACACTCGCTGGGACACCTCAGCAAGCGAGAGTCCAAAAGTGGCAGGCTCAAACCCAGAACCTCAACCAATGGCTGATACCAGATGAGAGACTCCCCCCTGGGCACACAGAGGACTGGGCAACTTGGAAGGTGCTGAACAGACTGCACTCTGGCACCACGAGATGCAGAGCCAATCTTAAGAAATGGGGCTACAAAGTGGAATCCTTGACATGCGAGTGTGGAGAAGAGCAAACCACTGACCACCTGCTGCAATGCAACCTGAGCCCTGCCACATGCACAATGGAGGACCTTCTTGCAGCAACACCAGAAGCACTCCAAGTGGCCAGATACTGGTCAAAGGACATTTAATCAACTACCAAACCCACAAATTGTGTATTCTGTCTGTTTGTTTGCTTTGTTCTGTTAGAAATGTAATATAATATGAGTGGTTGTCCTGACACGATAAATAAATAAAATAAATAAATAACTGTTTCATTACAAAAGACAATTATGGGTTGTTGTAGGTTTTTTCAGGCTATATGGCCATATTCTAGAGGCATTCTGTGCTGACGTTTTGCCTGCATCTATGGCAAGCATCCTCAGATTTTGTGAGGTCAGGAGAGAATGCCTCTAGACCAGTGGTTCTCAACCTGGGGTCCCCGGATGTTTTTGGCCTCCAACTCCCAGAAATCCTAACAACTGGTAAACTGGCTAGGATTTCTGGGAGTTGTAGGCCAAAAACAACTGGGGACCCCAGGTTGAGAACCACTGCTCTAGAACATGGCCACATAGCCCGAAAAAACCTACAACAATCCAGTGATTCCAGTCATGAAAGCCTTTGACAATACAAAGACAATTATGCTTTGTAAGATAGAAGACAGTAGGAAAAAAGGAAGAGCACATACCATATGCATAGACTCATACACTCATTCAAAGAAATCACAGCTACCCTGACTTTATAAGACCTGAGCAGGGCTTTGAGTGACAGGAGGACTTGACTCTTATTCATATGGTTCTTATCAATCAAAGTTGGCTTGACACTGATAACAACATCCATAGGATCACCATAAGTTGAAGTTGGCATGATGACAAATAACAGCAACAACAAAGGACTGGAGGAGGCCTTCTGGTGCATAGTGAGAAGGAAGTTCCCATACCTTTCACTAACATATTGAAAATGCACAGTTCATCATATGCAAACATGCTTTGTAGATTTCCTGCACTGGCAGGGGGTTGGACTAGCTGGCCCTTGGGGTCCCTTCCAATTCACTTCATCATCATCATCATCACCAGGAGCCCCCAGTGACACAATGGGTGATAACCTCTGCTGGCAGGACTGAAGATTTATTTATTTATTTATTTATTTATTTATTTATTTATTTATTTGGGGTGCTTCTACTCCGCCCTTCTCAACCCCCTAGGTGGGACTCAGGGCGGCTTACAAAAGGCACAATTCGATGCCTAACAATTCACAAAGTACGGTACAATAGACAATATACAATACACAAATTTACCATATAATGTCAACAGTTATAACTAATTTAAACAATCAAACAGTATACTAGCAGTAATAGAATCATCTTGTGGTCAGTGTTCGCCAATTCATAGTCCATAATCCATCTAACATCGTCACTATCCTTTTCTACTTTGGTCATCATTGGTTGTCTTTGTCCATCTGCCAGCTTACCCGAAGGCCTGGTCCCACATCCAGGTTTTTAGCTTCCTTCTGAAAGCAAGGAGGGATGTTGATGACCTAATCTCCCCCGGGAGTGCATTCCACAGGCGAGGGGCCATCACCGAGAAGGCCCTGTCCCTCATCCCCACCAGTCTCGCTTGTGATAAAGGTGGGGCCAAGAGCAGGGCCTCCCCAGTAGATCTTAAACTCCGAGGTGGGACATAGAAGGAGATACGTTCAGACAGGCACGCTGGGCTGGAGCCGTAAAGGGTTTTGTAGGTCAAAACCAGCACTTTGAATTGTGATCGGAACTGGATCGGCAGCCAGTGGAGCTGACATAACAGAGGGGTGGTATGTTCCCTGTATGATGCTCCGGTGAGTAATCTAGCCGCCGCCAGTTGGACTAATTGAAGTTTCCGAACAGTCTTCAAAGGCAACCCCACGTAGAGCGCATTGCAGTAATCTATTTGGGATGTGACAAGAGCGTGGATCCAGGGAGAGTGTGGACGAGCTCCCTCTGTCAGCTCAAGCTCCCCATGCGGGGACATGAGAGAAGTCTCCCATAAGGATGGTAAAACATCCAAAACATCTGGGTGTCCCCTGGGCAATGTCCTTGCAGACTGCTAATTCTTTCACATCAGGAGTGACTTGCAGTTTCTCAAGTTGCTCCTACCACAAAAAGAAAATCATCACCACCAGTGTTTTCCTTGGCAAGAGAGTGTTGGGATTGTATGTAGAGATGTGTCCAAATCATAATGAAATATATCTTTTGCACCCTCAGGTAACCTCATCTTTTCCACCTGCCTTGAACCCTCTCCTCTTTCTCACTTGTGTCTTCACAGCACAGAGTCCCACTGCAGCTGACCCCTTGCAGCAAGCCTACGCCGGAGTGCAGCAGTATGCAGGTCGTTAGTATTAACACTTTCCCCCAGTAAAACTTTCACCTCTGTAGTGGTCAATAACATGTCAGCACTCTTCCTTCACAATTGTCATTCTTTGCATAAATGTTGCATTTCAGGATTCTGAATTACAGTATGTGTCATTGGGAGTTACCCTGAGCAGTGGAAGCAAGCCACTGATGGTGAATCCACTCTGGGTTTTGTTTAAGCTGTTGAAGGAGCTGTTCAAGGTGCTGAACCTTGGGAACTCAACATTCAGCACCTTTGATCATTCTTTTACATTCCTGTAAGAAAACTCAATGTAGATTCACTGCTTTTCTGCAGTCAAGAAGACGAATAATGTTGGGCTATCTCCAATTACTATTCTTATCTATTGATTCATTGGCTCAGGTCTAGTATGTTGGCCAATACAATCCATGTAGAAAACGATGAAGTCCATGTAATATAATAGGCAAAAATGATGAAACCATATAAAGATCAGGCAAAGGCATAGAAAAACTTTCCAAAATAATTTTCTACTCCCCAGTTTCCCATTCATTTATTGTGAGGGTTGAATGAAAAGTAATGCCTCCACCTTCGTAACTTCTCAACAGATGGCAGTGCTGGTATGTGGCAGGTACTGGCTTGTTCAGTAAATTCTCCTCTACAGTTACATTTTGGTGAGGAGCCTTATTTATTTATTTATTTAGAGCTTTTATAACCTGGTCTTCTCGACCTCCAAAGAGGGACTCAGGCCGGCTAACAGCAGAAAATTCATACATAGAAGTGTGTATGAATTAGCATTGAACGGTTGTGTTGTTAAAGTGCAAAGTATGGAACCCTGAACAGACAGTTGGTCAATGCGACTTAGCAATGTGCAGTCATTGAATTCTTGACAGCAGAAGGTGTCACCTCAACGTCTTAAAACTTACTCACCCAACGATGCACAGTATTCACATGAACGCAGTCACCAACAGCTTGCATTCTCTGATGACTCTCCTTTAGGGTGACACATTCTGCTTTCAAGAATTCAATGACTGCATGTTGCTTAAGTTGCATTGACCGACCGTCTGCGCAGGATTCCATGCTTTATTTATTATTTATTTACATTATTTCTATCCCGCCCATTTCAGCCCGAAGGCTACTCAGGGGGTATACACAGTTGGCACAATTCGATGCCGAAACAAAATACATACATTAATAAAGCAAAAACATCAAGTGCAATTAAACATAAACGACAGTGCATAATAAACAATTTAAAAGAAACTATGTCCTCTCGTTCAAATCTTCATCTGTTACATTGTCTTGGCCGTTCCTGGGTCAATTTCCAACTCTAGTTTGTCTGTTTACTCCAGGGTTCCGAATGCTTGCTCGAAGAGCCAAGTTTTTACTCTTTTTCGGAAAGTCAGGAGGGAGGGGGCTGATCTAATATCCCTAGGGAGGGAATTCCACAGCCGGGGGGTCACCACAGAGAAGGCCCTGTCTCTCGTCCCCACCAGACGTGCCTGCAAAGCAGGCGGGATTGAGAGCAGGGCCTCTCCAGACGATCTTAAGTTCCTGGGGGGTTCGTAGGGAGAGATGCGTTCAGATAGATAAAGCCATTTAGGGCTTTATAGGCTAAAGCCAGCACTTTGAATTGGGCCCGGTAGCAGACTGGCAGCCAGTGGAGCTGATTCAACAGAGGAGTTGTATGCTCCCTGAGCCCCGCTCCTGTTAGCAAGTTGGACCATTTGAAGCTTCTGGGCCATCTTCAAAGGCAACCCCACATAGACCGCATTGCAGTAATCTATATGGGATGCTAGGGCTGCCTGCCACAATGAAATTGTAGAGGAGAGTCTGCTGAACAAGCCAGTACCTGCCACATACCAGTACTGCCATGTGTTGAGGAGTTACGAGGGTGGAGGCATTACTTTACATTCAACCTTCGTATCATATGCACTCTGTGGTTTCCTGCACATACACTGGGTATGTTTTCGTGAGATTTGCTCAAACTTCATTTTTTTAAAAACACAAATGATGCCAAATGGCCATTCTTCCTCCTTATAGTGTGGAGATAGGATGGAACGGGTTTCATCGGTAACGTATCTCTGAGACTACAGGTTTCCTTTTGAGAACATTACGTCTGTGAAGCTAGGTCACTGCTGTAAAATAGCATACTGTTGGGCTTGGTTGGCAGTGTGTCAATGGATAAATGGAAATACCCATTCTGTGCAGAGGGACTTTGAGCTAACTTGGCAAAGAATTTCACTTCAGAACAAGATAGTAGTTTATAGCATTTAGCAAGCCCATCAACTATCCTGATTTGGGAGGGACAGCCCTAGTTAATCATCTGCTGTCCACTTTATCAGCTGCTTTTAGACTATCGCAGGTTTTCTCTTCATCTCCTGCTTTCGCCTTTTGCCTTTGTTTTACTTCAGTTGCTGCAAACTGAATTCAAAGTGGAATAGCAGTTTGCACTCAACTGAAGGAGGAAAATTACTATTTGCAAATCTCCAACAAAGGACAACCCACCACCTGAGTTGGTCTGTTCCATTGTCCATTTTCCCATTAAGAAGGTTCCGGATCTGTTTTCTTGTAATTTGACTCAACAGATGCAGATCCTACCCTTCAGAGCAGCAGAAAACAAGCTTGCTCCACTTTGCACATGATGGTCTTTCAGATAATTAAAGTTGGCCACACCATATCATCTCTCACTTTTGTCTTCTTCTGGTTAAACATTCACAATAATCAACAGGGCTTGGTTTCTAGACCTCTGGACATGGTCCAGCACACCCACAGCCTTAAACTCTGGATTATACAATGTGTAAATGTGAGTTGTCAACTCAGTTATGACCTAAATCTTACTGGCATTCACAACCAGAATAGAACAATTGGATTAGTTGGATTTATTTAAGTGCTGGCTCCCCATTCAATGTAATTCTACTTGGGGTTAACCAATATGATATCAGCTTTATGACATCTGTTAGGGCCTTTCCATGGTTCCTCACAGTTGTCTCTCTTGGATTGTGTAGACAAGTTGTGTCAGCTGAGGTCCTCCCTCTTTAAAGATTTCAACAGGGATCCCATCAGGTCCGCTGGCTTTATTATTTTTTCCCTTTTTTCCTTTTTATGATGCATTTTTAAAGTGGTCCTCAAGTTTGCACACATGGATACATGGCAGGAATAAGCAAATTACATGACTGATATTTCAGTTCTATTTTTATGGAAACCTTTATGCCTGCTAATAGGCCAAAAGTCCAATGTTATAGATTGGTGATAGGAGATTCTCTACGCTCAATAGTCATGGCTGATGTGCCTCTGAGCACATGATTGCCCCATAACCTCATTGTCAGAAGTTAACTCACAGTGTGTTCAAACTCAAAGAATTTTTCCTGGTTGCGTTTGGTAACCAGGAACAATTCTTTCAGAGAAGGGATGAACTGTCAATTGTCATTAAACTTCTGGGATTAAATACTTTTATCTGTCCATGGAGAACTTGGAAACCATTCTGTGTTTTAGTCTGAACTTTAAAGATGCTATCCAAGGTTAAGTTATTTGCAAGTTTGGTGCATTTACCACCTCACTGACACAGGAAACACCAATCTCTACTGCAAATTTCCCATTGTCTACTAACAGATCTCATATATTTCTGACTTTGATCTGTTGTCTAATGGGCCTTCTGGCCTTCATCACCATCTACATATTCAAGATGTAATGGTCTAATCACTAAGTTGGGAATACAGTCTGGGAATGCAGGCCTGTTTCCCAAGAGCACCAAGAGCTACTTAATCTCCAAGTTGTGGATGTGGGAACCTCTTCATAGACCTCATGTTTTTCCATGTTCATGTGTCAATGCATTTCTCCTGCCCTAATGAAAAATCACTCTCTCTCTTGGGATTATTATTTGGGCAATTTACTGGCTTTATGACGATCCTGAAATCTTTCCTTCTTTTTTCTCCTCCTCTTTCCCCTATAGCTGCTTACCCTGCTGCCTATGGCCAGATAAGCCAAGCCTTCCCACAGCCGCCTCCCATGATCCCACAGCAACAGAGAGAAGGTGAGTCTATGGGATACTGCACTAGAAACAGCTTGATTTGTCTATATATTAGGTTACAGCTAATTTCTAAATCTATACACATAAGTACCACCTGTATAGTGCTGGCTTTAGAGATTTCTTCCCTGAGGCAAAAGGCAACATAGATTCTGTTCACATTCCAAATGCAGAAGCTGGGTGGATCCCTCCGAGTCTGCACAACTGCCCAAACTGCAAATGAATTCAAAACAAAACATCAAGTGCTCAGAGGTACACAACAGGTTGAGTATCCCTTGGCCATAAGGCTTAGGATACACAGTGTTTCAAATTTCTTCAGCTGAATGTGTAACTAGCCCCCTTTCCCCAAAGAAGGGGTCGACAGCTGGTGGCAAAAAATGTCGGGTTTTGGAGTATTTCTGATTTCAAATTTCTGGATAGGAGAAGCTCAACCTGGACTAGATTTGGAAATAATAGTCCTGCATCAGCTATTTAGTTACATATAAGTAACATTTCCTAACCAGACCCCACCCTCACTAATACAACAACAACAACAACAACACTTTATTTATAACCCACCCTCTCACAACCACCATGTCAGACTACACAGAGAAGCCATTGAAATCTAGAAGCATGTGGACAATTTCAACAGAAAGGAGGAAACCATGAAAATGAACAAAATCTGGCTACCAGTATTAAAAAACTCTAAAATTACAACAGCACAACAACAGAGAGGAAACAAACATCTAAGATGAAGGACATCTAATCACCCCTCAACAAAAGATTGCTCCAGGTACTGTCAGGCCATTATATGCTAATCAAGGTAGTCAGTTGAAACATTCACACCTAGCTCCAGCAGACAAGTGTCCTTTGTCCCAACCTGGTCATTCCACAGATATAAAAACCCTTTTTCCTAGTTCCAACAGACCTCCCTACCTCTGAGGATGCTTGCCATAGATGCAGGCGAACCGTCAGGAGAGAATGCCTCTAGACCATGGCCATATAGCCCGAAAAAACCTACAACAACCCAGTGATTCTGGCCATGAAAGCCTTCAACAACACAAAGATGTTGATGATGATGATGATGATGATGATGATGATGATGATCATTATTATTATGCAGTTAAAGTGTTGTCAAACTGCATTAATCCTACAGCATTGAATTAAAGTGGGGTATGGCTCTATTTCACCATGTTGGAATAAACCGTGCCACAATCTTCACCTAGGAAGTGGAAGCAATGGGAGGAAGCCCTATGAGGAGCGGCTTAAGGAGCTGGGCATGTTTAGCCTGAAGAAGAGAAGGCTGAAAGGAGATATGATAGCCATGTATAAATATGTGAGAGGAAGCCACAGAGAAGAGGGAGCAAGCTTGTTTTCTGCTGCCCTGGAGACTAGGACACGAAACAATGGCTTCAAACTACAAGAGAGGAGATTCCATCTGAACATGAGGAAGAACTTCCTGACTGTGAGAGCCATTCAGCAGTGGAACTCTCTGCCCCGGAGTGTGGTGGAGGCTCCTTCTTTGGAAGCTTTTAAAAAGGGGCTGGATGGCCATCTGTCAGGGGTGATTTGAATGCAATATTCCTGCTTCTTGGCAGAATGGGGTTGGACTGGATGGCCCATGAGGTCTCTTCCAACTCTTTGATTCTATGATTCTATGAATCGGGCGCTCCTTTTAGCCCCGCAGCAGAGGAACTGCTCTCCCCAAGTCTTCATCAGGGGCTTCATTTCCTATTAATCCAAAACAGAAAATGTGGAGGAAGAAAGTGCCTTCAATCACACCAAGGCCCGGGAATTTTAATGAGCTTTAAATGGGCATCTGTCAGAATCCTGACTCGGCGGAACTACCCCTGCCAGCCGAGGGGATGAGTGATGGCCAATAAAAAGGGGGGGAGCACCTTGGTGAACTCCTCTCTCCAACGGGAAAGGCAAAGTTGTAATTTGCTGTGTTATGACACTATAATTATGCCCTGATGAAGAAAGCCAGAACATTAAACATCCTTCTCTTCTGCATAGTGCATCCCTATTCCTTTCCCTCCCTGCGAGGAAGGAAGGAATGGCTTAACCCATACTTTGCTGGCGCCGCAGACTGGCTCCTCAAAGAAGGTCTTGAGGAGTAGAGTTAGTTTGCAAAGGTCAATGGGAAATCCTGGATTAAATGAATTGCAAAAGTGGTTGGAAATAATAATAATAATCATCATCATCATCTTTATTTTTATTTATTTATTTATTTATTTGGTTTACTTCTACCCCGCCCTTCTCACCCTGCAGGGGACTCAGGGCGGCTTACAAAAACAAGGCACAATTCGATGCCCGTATCACACAACAGTAATAAAACAAAATAGCATAAATTAGCAATCAAATCACAATTCTACATTACATCTATAAACCGATAAAACCAATAAGACCAATAAAAATCCATACAAACGAATACAAACCAATTACTCCTTGTTGCCGGTCAGCGTTCGCTATCTCATAGTTCAAATTCCAATTCCACAATTGTCAGTCCTGTCAGTCCTATCCATCTGGTTGTCCATATCTAGTTGTCAGATTGCCCAAAGGCCTGGTCCCACAACCACGTCTTTACCTTCCTCCTGAAGGTGAGGAGGGATGTTGATGCCCTAATTTCCCCCGGGAGTGAGTTCCACAGGTGAGGGGCCACCACTGAGAAGGCCCTGCTCCTCGTCCCCACCAGCCTCACTTGTGATAGCGGTGGGGTCGAGAGCAGCCCCCCCCCCCAGATGATCTCAGATTCCGAGGTGGGACGTAGAGGGAGATACGTTCGGACAGATACGCTGGACCGGATCCGTACAGGGTTTTGTAGGTCAAAACCAGCACCTTGAATTGAGCTCGGAACTGAACCGGCAGCCAGTGGAGCTGACACAGCAGGGGGGTGGTGTGCTCCCTGTATGTCGCTCTGGTGAGCAGCCTGGCTGCCGCTCGCTGGACCAGTTGAAGTTTCCGAACCGTCTTCAAGGGCAACCCCACGTAGAGTGCGTTGCAGTAGTCTATTTGGGATGTGACAAGAGCGTGGACCACTGTGGCCAGATCAGACTTCCCAAGGAACGGGCGCAGCTGGTGCACAAGTTTTAATTGTGCAAAAGCTCTCCCGGCCACCGCTGAAACCTGTGGTTCCAGGCTCAGCGATGAGTCCAGGATCACTCCCAAGCTGCGAACCTGAGTATTCAGGGGGACTTGGGGCAGCTTACATGAGGCCAAGTCAACAATACAATACATCAGTATAAACCAACACAACAATAATATACACCAAAAAATAAAAATATAATACGAAACCATTATAAATAACATACCAGCAATAAAAACACAACATATTAAGAAACACAAGGATCCAACACTGTGGGCAGGACCTATTGTCATAGATTAAAAAATGTAAAACACTGGGTGTGACAGCAATAGAATAAGTCTAAAGAGAGGTTTTAGAGGGTGAGGTAGGGTTGATCGCCCCAACAGGTAGGGTAAAGTGCTTCAGAGGACATTTTGCAGAGAACTGGTCAGATCAGGGAATTATTGGTCTTTCAATCAGGGAAAGCACATTAGAACAACCAAGTTTTCAAGCTCCTCCTAAAGACTGCCAATGTGGGGGCTTGCCTAATATCCTTAGGGAGTAAGTTCCAGAGTTGAGGGGCCACCACAGAAAAGGCCCTCTCCCTCGTCCCCACCATTTTTACTACAGTCAAGATCTTACATAATGCTTTTAGAATACAGATTTCCACTCTCATACATTACATCTCTACTGTAGAAGGAATGCCGTTAGACACCACTTCGGCTGCCATTGCTCCATGCGATCAAATCTTAAGAGTTGTGGTTCGGTAAGATATTGGGTTGTTTTGGCAGAGAAGGCTAAAACCCTGTAAAACTGCAACTCCCAGAATACCATGGCCTTGTGTCATGGCAGTTCAAGAAGTGTCAAATTGCACTCATAGAATCATAGAATCAAAGAGTTGGAAGAGACCTCATGGGCCATCCAGTCCAACCCCCTGCCAAGAAGCAGGAATATTGCATTCAAAGCACCCCTGACAGATAGTCATCCAGCCTCTGTTTAAAAGCTTCCACAGACGGAGCCTCCACCACACTCCGGTGCAGAGAGTTCCACTGCTGAACAGCTCTCACAGTCAGGAAGTTCTTCCTCATGTTTAGACGGAATCTCCTCTCTTGCAGTTTGAAGCCATTGTTCCATTGCGTCCTAGTCTCCAGGGAAGCAGAAAACAAGCTTGCTCCCTCCTCCTCCCTGTGGCTTCCTCTCACATATTTATACATGGCTATCATATCTCTTCTCAGCCTTCTCTTCTTCAGGCTAAACATGCCCAGCTTCTTAAGCCGCTCCTCATAGGGCTTGTTCTCCAGACCCTTGATCATTTTAGTCACCCTCCTCTGGACACATTCCAGCTTGTCAGATGCAGAGTATAGAATAATAACCATAATGAAGAATGTGTAACTAACTACAATGTGATATATAGGATGCACAGACAGAATGCAAATAACAGAAATGTCACCTGTGTGCAAAGTAGGGGATACCGAACCCAATGGAGAGTGTAAAATGCATAATAATGTAATGTACGTAATGCACACTGTGCAACCTGCAAAGACAAGGCACAGATGGACATATTTGCCTATGGAATCCCAGCGTTATCGGCACTGCTTGATGGTGATGTTTTGGCCCCAGATGCATAGCATGGCTTATGCTTATAAACTAACACAATGGCAACTTTAGAACATGAGTTTGACAGACCTCTCCTTCTGGCCTTGGTTGCGTTGTGACTCCTCTGACCTCTCTCCTTTCCCCTCTTCTCTCTTCCTGCCTCCCTCTCTTCCATCTTCCCCGCAGGACCAGAGGGCTGTAACCTGTTTATCTACCATCTGCCCCAGGAGTTTGGGGACGCAGAGCTGATGCAGATGTTCCTGCCATTCGGTAATGTCATCTCCTCGAAAGTGTTTGTGGATCGGGCGACAAACCAAAGTAAATGCTTTGGTGGGTAAAGATAACAAAACAATTAGATTCATCCAGGAAAGGAACTTTCTCTGAACTACTTTTACCATTTTTTTCTCTCCAACTGCTATATTATATATATATTTTTATAACTTTACTTAGCTGATTTTTTTTCTCAATTTACCTTTGTTGATATACCGTTTTTTTTCCCCTCCCCACCGCTGCCCTTCCCTTCCTCCACCTGCTCCCTTCTCACCGTCTCATATTCAGAACTGTATTCCCCGCTGCAGAGAGGATCATGAGCTCCAGGATATTTTGGGAAAATTTAATATATATATATATCCCAGATCCTGGTTGTAGGGAATGGGAAAGTGTCATGCATTGAGGGGGAAGGGAACAATGGAGAGCAAAACGGGATTAGGGCAGCGGGTGGGAATGGAAAAGCTTCATGCAAAATCAGAGGCAGGTTGGGGGGAGGAAGAAAGATAACGCAACTGGAAAGGCCCCAGTTCTCAGTTGGTGGAAGGGGTGAGTTTGGATGCCCATCAGCAGGGTGGGACTTATCTCCAGCAAGCAGAGAGCCGGCTTCCTTTACCAGGGACAGAAGGTTTGGTGTCAGGACTTTTAACGACAACTCAAACAAAATGCATGTCGGAGCATGTGATCCCAGTGTTTGAATTCTCTGTAGGTTGTTCCCCATCCTCACTCCTTCTCCTTCTTGTGCTGCTGTTTTCTGTATTGGATGCAATGTTGTGATGTGGGGCGGTGGGGGGCTCCTTCAACATCATTCATCTACCTCCTGGCACCGGAAATCATCTCTCAACACTCCCATAGACCCAAGTCAGCTGCCAACTCATCCCCTCCCCATTCCTTTGTCCTCCTCCTTCATCTTCCTTCCTTCTTTCTCCTCTTCTTTTCCTTCTTCCACTACTTCCACCTCTATCTTCTCATTCCTCTTCTTTTCTTTCCTCTTGTTCTCTCTTCTTCTCCTTCTTCTGCTTCTCCTTTTCTATCTCTATCTTCTTCCATTTCATTTTAGTCCCTTTACACCAGTGTTTCTCAACCTGGGGGTCGGGACCCCTGGTGGGGTCGCGTGGGGGTTTCAGAGGGGTCACCAAAGACCATCAGAAAACACATATTTCTGATGGTCTTAGGAACCCTTTTGGTAGAGAAGGCTAAAGATCTCTCCGCCTGTCCTCATCCTTTTTGGTGTTGGTGAAAGACAACTCCCAGAATTCAAAAACAGCCCGCCCCCCAACCCCACCAGTAGTGAATGTTGGCCATGTTTGTAGTGTGCCAAGTTTGGTGCAGATCCATTTTGGGTTGGGTTCAGAGTAGATTAACTATAAATCCCAGCAACTACAACTCCCAAATGTCAAGGTTTATTTCCCCCAAACTCCACCAGTGTTTACATTTGGGCATATTGAGTATTCGTGCCAAGTTTGGTCCAGATCCTTCATGGTTTGAGTCCACAGTGCTCTCTGGATGTAGGTGAACTACAACTCCAAACTCAAGATCAATGCCCAACAAACCCTTCCAGTACTTTCTCTTGGTCTTGGGAGTTCTGTGTGCCAAATTTGGCTTGATTCTTTTGTTGGTGGAGTTCAGAATGCTCTTTGATTATAGGTTAACTATAAATCCCAGCAACTACAACTCCCAAATGACAAAATGTGCCAAATTTTGGTGTATTGGGTATTTGTGCCAAATTTGTCCAGTGAATGAAAATACATCCTGCATATCAGATATTTACATTATGATTCATAACAGTAGCAAAATGACAGTTACGAAGTACCAACGGAAATAATGTTATGGTTGGGGGTCACCAACACTTGAGGAACTGTATTAAGGGGTCATGGCATTAGGAAGGTTGAGAACCACTGCTTTACACCTTCTCAGTCCCATCTTCTTTTCTCCCACCTTCTCATCTTTTTCTTCCACATTTTTCTTCTTCTAGTCCTATTTCTCATTATCATCTTTTTCTCCCACCTTGTCCTTCTCCTCTTCCTCCATCTCCTTCTCCTCTTCTTTTTCTCCCACCTACTATTTTCCCTCCATATTTCCTTCTTCTATTCCTACTTCTCATTATCATCTTTTTCTCCCACCTTGTCCTTCTCCTCTTCCTCCATCTCCTCTTCCTCTTCTTTTCCTTCTTTCACTGCTTCCACCTCTATCTCCTCATTCCTCTTCTTTTCTTTCCTCTTGTTCTCTCTTCTCCTTCTTCTGCTTCTCCTTTTCTATCTCTATCTTCTTCCATTTCATTTTTTCTCCCTTTACACCTTCTCAGTCCCATCTTCTTTTCTCCCACCTTCTCATCTTTTTCTTCCACATTTTTCTTCTATTCCTATTTCTCATTATCATCTTTTTCTCCCACCTTGTCCTTCTTCTCTTCCTCTGTCTCCTTCTCCTCTTCTTTTTCTCCCACCTACTATTTTCCCTCCATATTTCCTTCTTCTATTCCTACTTCTCATTATCATCTTTTTCGCCCACCTTGTCCTTCTCCTCTTCCTCCATCTCCTTCTCCTCTTCTTTTCCTTCTTTCACTGCTTCTACGTCTATCTTCTCATTCCTCTTCTTTTCTTTCCTCTTGTTCTCTCTTCTCCCTCTTCTGCTTCTCCTTTTCTATCTCTATCTTCTTCCATTTCATTTTTGCTCCCTTTACACCTTCTCAGTCCCATCTTCTTTTCTCCCACCTTCTCATCTTTTTCTTCCACATTTTTCTTCTTCTATTCCTATTTCTCATTATCATCTTTTTCTCCCACCGTGCCCTTTTCCTCTTCCATCATCTCCTTCTCCTCTTCTTTTCCTTCTTTCACTGCTTCTACCTCTATCTTCTCATTCCTCTTCTTTTCTTTCTTCTTGTTCTCTCTTCTCCTTCTTCTGCTTCTCCTTTTCTATCTCTATCTTCTTCCATTTCATTTTTTCTCCCTTTACACCTTCTCAGTCCCATCTTCTTTTCTCCCACCTTCTCATCTTTTTCTTCCACATTTTTCTTCTTCTATTCCTATTTCTCATTATCATCTTTTTCTCCCACCTTGTCCTTCTCCTCTTCCTCCATCTCCTTCTCCTCTTCTTTTTCTCCCACCTACTATTTTCCCTCCATATTTCCTTCTTCTATTCCTACTTCTCATTGTCATCTTTTTCTCCCACCTTGTCCTTCTCCTCTTCCTCCATCTCCTTCTTCTTTTTCTCCCACCTACTATTTTCCTTCCATATTTCCTTCTTCTATTCCTATTTCTCATTATCATCTTTTTCTCCCACCTTGTCCTTCTCCTCTTCCTCCATCTCCTTCTCCTCTTCTTTTTCTCCCACCTACTATTTTCCCTCCATATTTCCTTCTTCTATTCCTACTTCTCATTGTCATCTTTTTCTCCCACCTTGTCCTTCTCCTCTTCCTCCATCTCCTTCTTCTTTTTCTCCCACCTACTATTTTCCTTCCATATTTCCTTCTTCTATTCCTATTTCTCATTATCATCTTTTTCTCCCACCTTGTCCTTCTCCTCTTCCTCCATCTCCTTCTCCTCTTTTTTTCTCCCACCTACTCCTTTCCCTCCATATTTCTTTCTTCTATTCCTACTTTTGATTACCATCTTTTTCTACCACTTTGTCCTTCTACTCTTCCCAACTTCTTCTTTTTCTCCCTTCTCATACACCTCCTTCTTTGACTTCCTAAATTTCTCTCCTTTTTCTCTTTCATTTTCATTCACTTGGATCTACTTCTGATGCTTCTTCTACTCCACTACCTCCTCGTTCTCCTCTGCAACCTCTCTTCTTGAATGGCCAAATGAGTCATTCCTTTCTGTAGTCCAAGGACATTTATATTCCATCCTCTTTGACTTGCCCAGCTCCCACTCGAAGTCCATCTCCTGAATCCTGTGGCCCATTTCAGAACCAAGACTGGTCACACACATTTGAGGTGTCTTCAAAAAGTAAGATGAAACACAGAGATGAGTTAGAATAAGAAGAAACAGCAGATCTCGTGAAACTGAATGGGATCTGAAATGGGAACTGGGGTCTCACAGGCCAAATCTAGAAAAATAGGCTCTTCAGAATGTGCCCACGAAATGGTACTCTGCCACTAATCAGCTCCAGAGGTACATGAAGATCTGTGCAACACATGCAACCAACCAGAGAATGGAAGTTCTGCTAGAGTTCTAGGAAAACAGCTCAGTATGGATTTTGGGTTGCTTTCAATACATATAAACATGCCTCGTGGTATATAGGATCCTGTTATGATTATTATTTAATTACAAAAGCCATGGAATCATCAAGAGTCACCAAGAGGGAACAAAATATTTTCTCCATACTTAACATGTTATTGGGTTGTATTTTTGGGGGGGCTATATGGCCATGTTCTAGAGGCATTCTCTCCTGACGTTTCGCCTGCATCTATGGCATGCATCCTCAGAGGTAGTGAGGTCTGTTGGAACTAGGAAAAAGGGTTTATATATCTGTAGATTGACCAGGGTGGGACAAAGAACTCTTGTCTGTTGGAGCGAGGTGTGAATGTTTCAACTGACCACCTTGATTAGCATTTGATGGCATGGCAGTGCCTGGAGCAATCTTTCCTTGTAATCACCTCTCAACAAAAGTTTGCTCTAGGCACTGTCAGGCCATTATATGCTAATCAAGATGGTCAGTTGAAACATTCACACCTAGCTCCAGCAGACAAGAGTCCTTTGTCTCACTCCTGGTCATTCCACAGATATATAAACCCTTTTCCTAGTTCCAACAGACCTCACTACCTCTTGAGGATGCTTGCCATAGATGCAGGCGAAACGTCAGGAGAGAATGCCTCTAGACCATGGCCGTATAACTCAAAAAAAAACCTACAACAACCCAGTGATTCCGGCCATGAAAGCCTTCGACAATACATTTAACATGTTAATGCCAAAACTGAGCCATCTGACAGTACAAAGGAGATAGCATGGAAAGAAAAAGAGAAATTTCACTTGGCATTTTGGCAAAGTAGGGTATCGGGTTTACTGCAAAAGTCTTGTAATTCCATTGCACATCATTTCACATGCTCTGAGCACCTTGTGAGC